ACACAAATGAGCAGAGCCAGTTCTGCTCTGCTGGTAGAGTTGGCTTGAGTCTTGAATGCCCACTGGAGACACTGAAGAAGAGAAACCCTCATGAATTCTGGAAAAAAACCTGAATCCATTCAGGTATTAGCATTCTCTGCGCAAGGTCAGCAAGGTCTCCAAATTACAACACTTTCCCACTATTTAGGGCATCACAGCTCTTGTATTGCTATAACTGTGGATTAGTGAGTTGACTATAGTGCTCTTCTGGAAGACACAAATCTGAATAGTGACACTATCAACTGGCTTCTAAAATACTTTTTTCCCCCTTTTTATTATAAAAGTCATTTAACGCTTGTTTCTTTTACTCTCTAGCCAGTAGAACACTAAATAATGCCACCATTGCACAACCCTTATAGTAGTATTCCATGAAAGTTTAGTAAGCAACCTGTTATTCATAAGCTTTAAAATTCTCTAATGATACATGGCAGTAAATAAGAAATATCATCTTACCAGCTTTGGGCACATATACTGTTTTCATTTCCACCTTGCTACACTTACAAATGCTGAAACTTGCTTTTGTCTTTACTTTTCCAGTTGACTCCACAGACTGCGTAAAATTTTCATTTTGATTCTGGACACATATTTTAGAAAGCAACAAAGCACTTCCCTCTTTCTCATCTCTCTGCAAAAGAGAAATGAGTTCACAATAGCATTTCCTTCATGCAGGTGAAGAGAAATAGAGAAAATAGCAAGGGATCTCAAGAATAGTGACTGTTGTTATCAAACTGTCTACATAAATATATACATCCCTACACAACTATATGCATCCCAGCGTTCACAACAGAAAGTATACGCACACAATATCAAACACCACTTGTGCCAATAGTTTATTAATTGAATGTAATAAAAATCTTATGTAGATAAATAAATAAAAATTGTGATGCTTTTTTGGGTTATTGTTAAAGGTTTCAGGTAAAGTTCCTCGCAGCAAAACTGCAACTCAATGTACTGACACTTTATTACATGTATCTTGGGTTTTTAACTACTTTTACCAAAAATATCCAACAAAGCCCACGCAAAGATACAATCCTTACCTCAGCTACACTGGAAATTGTATTTGGGCTCAACACTGATTACTTTTATTTATTTGAAAAACATTTTTCTGTATCCACTTCACAGAGTTAGAGAAACCTACCTGAGAAACAAGATCAAAGGTGTTGAGAGTAAAGCTATCAAAATCTATTCTGAACTGATAATTTAAGCAGAGGTTGTTTGTGGTGAGCTCAGATACTATCTTTTAGTCATGATACTGTATAAACAAATATACTTTTTAGTGAGTGCACTGTTCATTTTACCTCTTTTAATTTCATTTCTTGGTCCATCTCCTTAGTTTCATTCTTGGGACAAACTGCAATACATTTTCCTGGTGGTGTAAACTTTGGCTTTTTGGCTGCATTTCCTAGGACTTGACTCGGAGCTGCAGATCGCCTCATATTTGGTTTTACTGCTCTGGCAGGTGGACAGGAAGGAAGGAAGCAGATAAAGTCAACTGTAGTCAGAATAGCTTTAAATACAAAAATACATCCAAAGATAACAACACAAGCACTATTTTAAAACAACATAAAGGATATCATAAAATATTTTCAAATAACAATCTTAACTCACAAGCATAATACACTTTAAGAAAAAGTAGTATCGTTACAATGCATTAAGTACTAAGAAGGATCAAGTACAGCAAATTCTGTGGTTGAACACTTCCTTTTTCTTTTAAAAAGCCAATAGTGCAGTTACCAATCACAAAAAATACTCTGGAGATAAACAATGTCGGGCTGCTTAACAAACTTACATAAGTTTCTAAAAAGAAAGAAAATTTGAAGCAAAACTAACTATTCTAAACACTTAAAACATTACTTTGAAAAGCCCTTTATTAGTGCGCAATGAACAATGAATGTTGAAGTTATGTCTCATCCACTATAATAAGATTACAATTGGGCAAGAAATAAGCTCAAAATTAGAGTGGAGCTCCATGTTGTGTCCACTTGAATAATGGAAGAAATCTATCATAGGTTTTCCCCCAAAGTATAAGAATATTATTCCCCTGAACAACCTTAGGACAAAACCAATATGCCAATGTTAATATGGCAAAGTTTACTTGCAACCACTAGAATAATGAGTTATAATCTTAATGCTTCAAAGCAGTAGACAGAAACAAAACAAGAGAAGAAAATTCCAATAAAATAACACAGCAGCTGAAATGAAGAAGCCAGGCACAGTACAGCAACTTATGGAGCATATTTTGGTTTCATTCTCATGGACTGTTTCTTTTAATTGATCCCTCCAACTACTAGGTTAAAAACAAACCATAATACAGATTGCAGATACAAACTTCTCTACTATCTCTAAGGCATGTTTGCATCCTGCTGCAACAGCCAGTGTGTTTCTGCACTTTTTTTGGTGCTACTCTGCACTCCAGTGGCTTCCTGGGGCACAACCACCTTTCTTCCCAAGGTTTGCATAGAAATTTTAATGGAGTATGATCAAAACACTTTGCAAACACGCAGTCACTAACATAAGCAAAGCTCTCTCCTCCATATCTGAACAATTAGGATATGTATGATGCTGTTACTATATGCAAACCTTAATGGCAAAATGGCCTGAACTGTTGTCACTTCCACTGTGACTGTTATTAAAAATACAGGAAAGAAGCCCCTGACTACGTGTAAGCAGCAGTTCACTTAAGTTAGGCCTACATGACAACAGCGTTAGCATATGAATTTCAGTTAACCCTATGCAATAAGGGAGTAGCTTGGTTATTATAACAGGAGTATCCGTAGTATGAACAACTGATAGTCACTGTGAACACTGCAGAGGAGTCAAGAACCTTCCAGAGGAGCAGACTGCAAGTGTAAGCACTGAGGACAGCCAGCTTCAGGTGCCATGTGAATCTGATCGAGTTCTCTACCCAACCCAACAATACACAGTGACACCCCACGACTCTGCATGAGGACCATCTATAGCATGGCTGAGCTGCTACATTAACCCTGCCCATGCACTTCCAGAGCTTGTCACATCTTCAGTGGAACAGGGGAGCTGTGCAGTTCATAAATTGCACATATTTGTGATTGAAGTGTTTTGGTTTCCAAATTCGTTTGGGCATTGTGCTGTCTATTGGTCTTAAACCACAAAATCAGACTCGTTAGGAAATTTCCAAAATAGTAAGAAATTTAAAGACACTACCCTTGGTAACTCAATAACTTCACTCACGGTAAATTTTAGAACCTGTAAGAGTATTTCCAGTATTACCCACTTGCAGCTACCAAAACCTTTAGGGGGTTTGTGTTTTTAAAATGGAACATTGTTTCCAGCAATACATCTTCCTCTCTGTCTTCAAAATAGAAGCTTTTATAAAATAAAATAAAAACAAAAATTACAAAATATAATAATTAAAATGTTTATATTTTGTATCTTTACAGTAGCACACAGAAAAAAATAGACCATCATGGATGTGCAAAAAATGACTGATGCCAAATCTTGTTTGTAGATGAGATCAGAGTGGATGTAGCAAGGGCAAGGAACAGCTCCACCTTACAACTACATCAATTAACTTGCAATTATGCCCTTTCCTCAGAGACACCACCTATATACCAAACCATCCTGTACTTGCCTTACCCTTAGGTCTGGCTGCAGGGGAACAGCTGCAGGGAAACACCTGCAAGCAATGCAAAAAGCACAGCTCTTGCCTTTTATTAACCACCTGGCCTGACCAAAGCCAGTGCACCATGAAACCACAGCCCAAACCGTCTTGGGAGTGCATCTGGTTTGGCAAGCACTGCATTCAGTAGTACTTTTGGTACATTAATATCTGCATTACAACAAAACACACATAGAAAGAACATTTCAAAATTTTACATATCCAGCCCAACTCGGTGTGCACAGAGCCCTGCTAAAAGCACCTCAGCCCAAACTTAACAGGCTGCTCTCCTGAGTGTTTGAAAAGGCACTCCCAGCACAGATGGTGAGGCAAACAGGGGTTGTGGGCAACTACAAAGGTGTGACACAGGATCAGCTTTTAGTCATTTAAACTGAAGGCAGCGAGTGCATCGCCTTGAACATAATGGCCAGTCTTCGCAAACGAAGATCTGGGGAAAGGTCTTTTTATCTTTCCAGCCTGCGCAATGGATTTTTTAGGTGAGACACAGCCTGCGCTGAACTGAGCCCACCCTTTAATCCTAAGGTTCATCTGCCGGGGCCAAGCAAGCTTGGACAATGGCAGTGAGGTCCTCAGGACGTAGGTTTGTTTAGAGTGACCTTCTCTTAGATGGATGGCCTCACAGGGCTAACGGGTTCCATCTGCCCGGGAGACCGAAGAATCGAACCCGGGTCGCAGCAGTGAGAGTCCTGCATGCTAACCACTAGGCCACCAGATATCAGTGAAAAAATCACTTCATATGATAAGTAGCTGTAAGGACTTTTCACAAGGGCATGTAGTGACAGGACAAGGGGGAATGGATTCAAACTGAAAAAGGGTAAGTTTAGATTAGATATTAGGGAAAAATTCTTTACTATGAGGGTGGTGAGACACTGGTACAGGTTGCCTAGAGAAGCTGTGGATGCCCCATCCCTGGAAGTGTTCGAGGCCAGGTTGGATGGGGCTCTGAGCAACCTGGTCTAGTGAGAGGTGTACCTGCCCACGGCAGGGGGCTAGAACTGGGTAATCTTTAAGGTCCGTTCCACCGAGACCCCCCGTCCATGCCCCCGATCCCTCCGTACCTCCAATCGCCCCATGCCGCGCCGGTCCCGCCGCCTCAGCGCCGCTCAATTGTCCCGCCGCGGGCTCCCGGCAGCCCCGCCGGCCCCGCCGCGCATGCGCCCTGCCCAGCCACCCCCGCCCGCCCGGGCGCGGTGGCGCTTCCCGCCGGACGCGCGTGCGCGGGGCCGCGCGGGAGGGGGGCGGTGGGCGGGGCCCTGGGAAGGCCCTTCCCACCCTCGGGAGGAGCTGACTGCGCGTGCGTAATGCCACACACAGCATGGCGGAGCGGGCGCGTGCCGCGCCGCCGCCAAGCGAGAGCGGCCGTAAAGGGAAGCTGGGCTGCGCGACAGCGGGCGGTGGCGGCGGGTGAGTGAGAGAGCAGCGGAGGGGGGCCGGGGGGGCCCGGAGGGGGTCGCCTGAGCGGCAGGGGCGGCGGGCAGCGGGGCCGTGCGGGAATGAGCCGTGGGGCGCTTCGCGCAGCGTTTGTCAGGGCCCGTTCGACCGCCGCCCTCTGTGCCGGGCTGGCGGCGGCGTCGCCGTCGTGTGTTGAAGGGAAAGGTAATTGTGTGCGCGCAGCTGTGTGTGTGTGCGCGCAGCTGTGTGTGTGTGCGCGCAGCTGTGTGTGTGTGCGCGCAGCTGTGTGTGTGTGCGCGTGCAGCTGTGTGTGTGCGCGTGCAGCTGTGTGTGTGCGCGCAGCTGTGTGTGTGCGCGTGCAGCTGTGTGTGTGTGCGTGTGCAGCTGTGTGTGTGCGCGCAGCTCTGTGTGTGCGTGTGTGTGTGTGCGTGTGCAGCTCTGCGTGTGTGCGTGTGTGCAGCTCTGCGTGTGTGCGTGTGTGCAGCTCTGCGTGTGTGTGCGCGTGTGCAGCTCTCTGCGCGTGTGCAGCTCTCTGCGCGTGTGCAGCTCTCTGCGTGTGTGCGTGTGTGCAGCTCTCTGTGTGTGTAGCTGCTTGAGGCCACGTAGGTGCTGTTGCTCAGCGTCAGGTTGCTGCTCCAGATGTTTCCAGCCAATTTTGTGCTCCATGACCAGGATCATTGCCCTTCCCTGAAGTGCCTTTCCAGGCCGGACCCGGAGGCCTTCCCACTTTTTCCTGTGCAAAGTTCCCCCTCCCACAACCCCGAGGAGAGAGAAGCTCCTCTGACCCTGCTCCTGCCTCTGTGTAGCAGAGCCTGGCCCTGTACAGCCTCAGAGGTGCTCACACAGAGTCATGGAAACAATCGGGTTGGAAAAGACCTCTGGGATTGTCGAGTCCAACCTCTGACCAAACACCACCTTGTCAACTAGACCATGGCACTGAGTGCCACATCCAGTCTTTCCTTAAACACCTCTGAGGTGGTGACGCAACAATCTCCCTGAGTCTATTCCAATGTTTAATCACCCTTTCTGTGAAGAAATTCTTCCTAATGTCCAACCTAAACCTCTCCCTTAAGCCTATGTCCTCTTGTCCTCTCGCTTGTTACTTGGAGAAGAGGCCAACCCCCACCTGGGTACAGCCTTCTGTGAGTTGCAGAGAGTGATAAGGTCTGAACCTCCTTTTCTCCAGGTTAAACAAGCCCAACTCCCTCAGCCATTCCTCACAGGACTTGTGCTCCAGTCTCTTCACCAGCTCTGTTGCCCCTCTCTGGACTCTGGTCTGTGAGAGTCAGGTCGTGCATTGATCACTGTTTTGAGTGGGTTTTGCAGTGCAATGACTCGTGTTGTGTAAAAATGTTCTTTGTCAGAGTAGTTCCAGTTTCTGGTAGAGGCCTTAACTGTGTAGCTCATACTGCTCATTATAGAAGCTTTTGTTGAAAAAAGTCAGTTGTTTACATCAGTGTAAGCTGGTATTGCTGTCCATTCATTCTTACTCTCTTCTGTTCCCTTTCTCTTACACAAGAGACTCCACAGGGCACCAGTCAGAGGGAGTAGCTCTATAGCTCAAGGCTGGTTTTAGGTGTGCATCTGCCTGGCAAACAACATGGGATGACAATTGCTGAGAAGTTAATACCTGTGAAGTCTAGAGGAGATTTTTGCTTGTCAAAAGCAATGGGGGGAAATAAAATATATGTGAAACAATGGAAAACAAATAGCATGTAATAGTTTCTATTTTTTTCTCCCAGACAAAGACATCCCTGTGCAATTATACCCTTTACAATTTATGCATCCTCCCCCATGTGTTCTTCATGCGCCTTGCTAGTCTTGGTGCTTTGTGGTCTGGGGTCTTCTAACACCTTAGTGGATTCTCTCTCCATCTGCATGCAGGCAAGCCATTAACTGTTGTTATCTTGTGGAGCTGTAGCTTCTGCTGATGGCTGTGAGCTCCTTATCTTCTGGTTTGTGCTACTTGTGCACCTGCTCTCCGGCAGAGCATGGGAAAGTCCTAGACTTAAGCTAAACATTACTTAGCAACATCTAAAACATCAGTGTATTAGCAACATTCTTCTCATTCTAAAGAACAAAACACAGCACTGTACTGGCTACTAGGAAAATTGCTAAGAAAATTAACTCTGTTCCAGCCAAAAGCATATCTGGATGAAAGTCCACAGCTTGTGGCCAGCTTCCAGCAACTCAAGCTTACTCATAATAGGCAAATAAACATAAGTAAACAGCATACTAAATCACACAGTGTTGTAACTATGTGAAGTGGCTCGTTCTATTTAAAAGTTACTTTTTTAAGCTAAACAATTAATAATTGTCAACAAAGTAGTTTTTAGGTACAAACAAAAAAAGAGAGTGACAATTGGTGAACTGTAATACAAAAATAAGTTTTGAGGCCAAATGGAGGAAAGAGAAGTATGTGGGAATGAGCAGAGGTTGTAAATTACCTCATTTTGTGGTGGAAATACTGAGTAAAGTGATCTGTACTGCTAGAGTGGCATTCATCTGATGCTCTCTCTCTCTGCCTTTCTCTTGACTGAAGTCTATCTCTTGAAGCTGGCAAGAACATAAAACTTCTCTGGTTTTTCAGGTCAGGAAAAGTTTACTGGAAGAGGTATGGCACTTCAGTAACAGCTGGGACGTTATCTTTAGAACCCCCTTCGTTGTGTTTTTTGCCTCAAAGTTCCCATCCACTCTTCATTGGAACTACGGTTTTGTTTGGGGCTTTATACATACATCATCATATATATGTATTTGTTGCACTTCATTTTTCTGTCAGGCACAAATAAAGTTTTTGTTTCCTTTTGATAAAAATATTCTTTCCTGTGTTCTGTTAGACTTCAAACTTGTTAAAAGATGCCAAAGAGCCTCTTGAAGACTTGGTCCTCCGGGATCATCAATGTGTGTGCAAAATGTAGCTTACAGCATCCACAATTCCAGTGAACAGAGACTCTAGGACATCAAAAATACTTACAGTTTTGTTGACTTCTTTTATGCGTCCTTGAAAGTTTTCTAAAAGCAGAATCCTCTGGGATCAGCCAAGCCAAATGAAAATATAGGCCCACAGTTCAAAGTACTGAATCTATGTATGCTGTTTGTCTTCCAGCATAAACATATATGTTTCAATCTTTTCATCAGTATTGGAAACTGATGTTTGATTTCACATTCTCCTTACTGATAATTAGCATTGTTCTCTGCTTTTTAAACTTTCCCTTGTGGTCCTCGCTTTCCTTACAATCACAGCTTTGTGCAAAGATGACATTTTGTTTGCACTGAACTGGCAAAATTCTGAGTTTTCTGTCTGCAGGAGACCTGTAAAAACGTGCAAGTAACAACAGTGTAAAAATAATTGTTTATCATCTTCTAAGATGATAAACTAAAAAAGACTCTTTTAAGACATAGAATGTCTATGCTGTGGAGGAAGGAACAGCATAGCCCAGATACCTGTAAATTTAGCTTGCAGTGTGTTGTTCGTGACAATGTAGCTACATAAGCACAGAGTTAAACACAGCCTGTAAAATGTGCCAGGGACATGGTCAGGAGCCTGTCCCTGCTTTTGTGGCAACACTCAGTAAGTTACATGGTTGATAGGTGTCCCAGCTGCTCTAAAGCTGGCTCAAGCATCTCTGCAAGCCTTGGTGCTGGCTGTACCATAAACGTACCAGTAGAAACACAGCACAATATGGAAACCATGCAGCAGATGATGTGTTTTGTGTTCAGGTAATGTGCACGCCTGCTTGTGTTATGTGTGCTGTTATTATAGCTTTTATTAACTTTAGTCTTAGCAAATGGCCTTTTAACACAAGCACATTTCATAATCAGTGAAGATATGCTTTGATACTCAGATATATAAAAACTTCTAAGTTCCAGTTTTATGTTGTATTCATGAAGAGGAATTGTGGAGTTCTTTTTTCTCTTCAGAACGAAATTTGATGTTAGTCCTTAGAGATCCTTGCAATTGCTATGTATCAACTTAAGAGATTTAAGTAATGGCATCCTTTATGTTTTGCTATACCTTTTTTGTTTTAAGTGAGCAAGCTTGTGTAGCAAGTTATGCTACACATCAGAGCAATGATATTTCTCAATGCAATGAACTTGACTTTAATAGTTCTGTTTTAAAAATTAACTGCATGTCATGCCTGGTTAAAAACAGATGAGATAAGAAACTTCCATCTTTTTGAGGAATATAATTTTATCAGATTTCAGGTGCTGCTTTTCAATAATATTGAATTCTGTTGTCTTCAGTCTTACAAACAAAACTGGCTTCAAAATTGAATGGCAGCAGAGTGTTCAGTTATGTGATAAGTATCTGAATCAGTAATGATTGAAAGAGAGACTGATGATTTTTTTTCCCCGAAGTCTAGTCAGATCTCTTGTGTTGTAGGTTTTTCAATGGCTTGCTTTGGAAAACTTGGTTTTAATGGGCTGTTAGGATAGCATCTATTCAGTAGCTGGCTGGTTAGACATAGGACTTAGTAACTTAGGAAACACTACTGAACCTTACTCTTTCTAATTTTTCTCCTAGGCATAATAAAGCAGTGAAGAGACACTGAAGGAGGTATTATATGCCTTACTGATCAGAAAACTGTTTCTGGAGTATACTTCAGAATTATATATACAAACTACATATATATGTAGTAAAATCTATGAAGGTAGGATATCTTCTGTTTCTGTTTTATTTAGAAAACCTCATAACTAATGAAAACCTCTTTTACAAGTCTCAGTGGGGTTACAAAAGTAATTTTGTATGTTAAGGAGCAATGTGGAACCTAAAACATATTCTTTTAAATGAGTTCTGTGAAATCTTACTGAGTTCCACTAGCCTTTTCAGTTATAGGATTTTGATGAAGACAGATTACCCATTAGTTCTTCTTCACAAAGCTTTCAAATCCATTTAAAGGCTACTCCGTTTTATAAAATAGACCATGTAGGAGAACACGCTACCTCCTCATGATTTCAGGGTTAGCTGCAGTTTTGGCTTCTTTTACTTCCTGAATATTAAGTATTTCTTTAGGCATGTGGAGATTTCATGCTGTTCCCTCTGGAATGGAAGTCTACAATGAAAAGAGAATCTTAGTCTTTTTTTTTTTGCAGTATGAAAGTATGAAATTCTTATCTTAAGGGATGCGCAGTTCATAAATACGTGATCTGCTAGTTGAAAGTGCCACAGCTATTGTCTGTAAGGACACAGTTTTGTAAGCTTGTAAGGCATTACATAAAAGGCATTAAAACAGAAAGCAGACATTTGCATTTGAACTTCGATGATATTTCTGCTTCAAGTAGAGTTGATGTAAACAGAAACAGTATGTTTTACAGTGCCTGCTACAGTTATGTTCAATAACAGAGTTCAGAACAAGTGCAGCTCAACTATCTGCTAAAGTCTTTGCTTTCAGAATTCAGAGAATATTGATATAAAATAGGAATTCTGATGTCCAACAGTACAATCCTCAAATTCTCATGGAAATCTCAAAGTCTCCAAAGTATGTGTTTGCATTCACATCTGTGAAGTTCTTTATTCACATTAAGGTCCCCATGTTTCTAGAGTTGCTTTCAGGCCTTTTTGTGGATCTAACCATACAGATTGAGCACAAAGATGGCTTTACTTCTGCGTAGATTTTTTTTTAATAGGTTGAAAGTGTGTGGAGAGCATGGGTTATGACATTGAGCGTTTTGTGGGCTACGTTAACGAAGGGCTGTTGTGCTCCATCTGCCGAGACGTGTTAGAGAATCCGTTGCAGGCTCCCTGCGAACACGCTTTCTGCACTGCCTGCATCCATGGCTGGCTTGTTCATCACAGTAACTGCCCTGAAGACAGACAAGCGATTGATGTGTCTTTGCTACGGCCTCTCTACAGGTATTCCACAATCTTGCTGTATGTTGAAATTACACGAATTTAGGATTTATCAATTTTGCTTGCACAGCTTCATCTCTTGTCAATTTACTCACTCAGACTGTCTTTTTCCAGTATGCCTGTGGCAGAAACTGATCACTTGCATAAAAGCATTAGCATTTCTTAACTTTCAGGGTGTTTAGATTTCAAAATTGAAAGAATACTTAGTTTATTCTCCACCTTTTTATGTCTTGAATGCCATTTCTAGATATCTGTCTGGACATTATTCTGAATGCCTTCTGCAGCATCAAAACATTCCGTACTTTATTTTAGAGAAAGCAAGGAAAACAACTCTGGACAACAGTCACTACACTGTATCTTCTTTCTTTTCAGTCTTATGTACATACTGTAGTGGGGTTTGTAATGAATAATTCCTGGAGATGTGAACCAAACTTCTGACCTTCAAGTTCTTTAAAAAAAAAAAAAAGGTCTTTAGACAAAAGAATGCCTGTTGTGAGCCACCTTGTCATGTAAAGCAGGCTGTTTTTACAAGTGCCTTCCATAACTGGTCAGGCACTTGGACTAGATGATTGTTGTCGGTCCTTTCCAAACAAACTATTCTGTTTTAAACTCTTAATTCCTGTTATTGCCGGCACAACAGTGTTTCATCAGTAGATACTGCTTGCTGTTTAACACCTGCATTGTCTAGTCTTGCCCAGATTAAGAATTGTGTTATGTTTAAAGTCTTCAACTGCAGGTGTTAAATTTACTTCATTAGTACTCACAACCTAGTTTTGTTATTAATGAGATTTTACTGTCTGGAAGTTAACTGCAGTGTAGACAGAGCACTAGAGTTTAATTTTTAGATTATTTTGTCTGTACTCACTGTAGTCTGTTTAGTTTAGCACATTTAGAAATACAAAACTTAAATGATGAATGAGTAGCCCTGGTGTTTGTTATTGGTAATCTCTGCTGAGTCAGTGAAAGGTCACAGTTAGAAATTATTCAAAAATAAAGATTTTATTTGCACATTAGTTTTGGAGACTGAATTTTCCTTTAACATTGTTTCTTTCAAGCTGTTTTTTTTTCCAATATGATCACTTGAATTCTTTTTAAAAAATTAAGCTGGTTGCTCACAATTTTTCCTGATGGAGGAATTAGGAAGTCCAAAAGTTGAAAATAAAGTTTTGTAATAATGTTCCAAGATTTAAGACCAAATTCTTTTTCTTTGAACATAGATACATGAAAAATGATCTAAACCGTCTTCAGCTGCATTGCAGAAACAGAGAGTACGGCTGTGAAATGGTTTGTTCTCTGGAGTCTATAGATAGGCATGAAAGGGAGTGTGAGTACAGTCAGATTCCTTGCTCCAATGCCGGTGAGTAACATTCAAAGAAGTTGAATCCTTTATGTTTAGAAAAGATGTGTTTGTAATCTTCCTGTCAACAGAACTGCAGTAATGGCCATTAATTTCAAACAGAAATTCAAAGCTTTGGCATGATCTGCTCTTTACAGCAGTGTTTTTGAACAAAACATGGTACCGATTTATGGCAGCCACGATGATTAAAAGCTGTTTCTTATCCAAGAACTAATCAAAATGGATGAGTATGATGGACTTCAAATGTAGCAATGCATTTGTTTTGCAATTCTGACTGCATATTCTGATGTTTGAATGAATGCAGTAGCACCTGCAGAACACTCATGGGTCACAATTTATTTCTATAACAACTGGTTGCCTGGTGCTCTCTCTGTCTCGTGGTTTTAACAAAAATGTATCTTGGAAATTAGAATTGTTCTAAGCTAAATTCTTGTTAGAATTGTTTTGTTCATGCTGAGATGTTTATTTAAAACAAGCCTACACCTTCTGAGGAAGAAACATGCCTTTTAAAAGGCTGCTAAAATTTCCCAGTTGATCTCATTCAAAATATTGTATGTTTCTAGATAAAGTTAATTTCTAATTAATAATGCTAAGAGCATAGTTGAATCTGCCACTGTAATTAATTATGAGATAATTAAGGTGCTAGAATTGCTCTACTGGAAGTTATAATTTCTCTCAGCAGTAAGTGACTCCTGCAGATGCTTCAAATTCACCTGTTCTAGTTTCTACAGAAGCAGTGTCTAGAGAGTTACCATGCCTGATGTCTGGTATTCAGTGTGAGGGTTCTTACATCTCTTGAACTCTCTCCTAAGAATACACTGGAGTGTAGTTTGAGTACCTCAATTACAAATCATTATTACTAAAGCTCTTCTAGAGGGGTCTTTTGTCATTTTCTGATATGGTTTGTTGGAAAGTTTCGTTACTCCATTGTTTCAGTTCCCTTATGTTGATTTTTCTCTTCAAATTAAATGCAGTTGTGTATTACAACACACAGGTCCTCAAAGATTAAATGTTAAGCCTACAAACTTCAAGTTGAGACTGTTAAATGTAACGATAATTTATATAGTGTTAATTTCTGATTCTTTACATTTTACTTTTAATCACTCTGGAATTGCAAAGTTTGTGTCCTAGAATTTGTGTGGAAATGTTTCAATTCTTGTATGAGGTATTGAATGTTCATACATAAATGTTCTTTCTTATTTATGTGGTCTAGTACATTATAGATAAGACCAACAAACTCAGGAAAACAAGGTTACATTCCATCTCTCTTACTACATATCTGTGGGGTGAAGTCGCAGCCCCACAATTGAAGTTTGAAAGGTTTGAGGTATTGCAAAAGTTAGGCCGTGTTCCATGGGAGCAGTGGAACTAATTAGATAGTTTCCATGGACACAGCCTTGAGTTGCCAAGAGTACAAGGTTAAGACTGTTTGGTAATGTGCAGGTGCTTGAATTCCTGGGTGTTTTTGTGAGAGTATGTTTATGTTGTATGTGTGGGAAAGTAGAGGTTAGTGATCTCAGTGAAGGCTGCCTGCTGCGCTGAGCAGGCAGATATCTCTGTCTCATCACCCTACTGTGTCTCATCACCTTATTGTGTGTCGTGCGTCTTTCTTCCCCCACGGACCAAGACCTGACGACAGTTACCCAACGACGCATATCTTTGGGTTTTTTTCCCTAAATTTGATAACCTAATATTTTTTTACATATGCACATTCTTCATCAATTCTAGTCTCTGCAATCTATGATGGAAGCACATGCAAGCTGCCAGTGTCTTAGATTGGCGTCAGCATTGTCATTACTGAAGTTGGTTTAATACCAGACCAGCAGTAGAAGACTTTACAGAAAATACGTCCTTCTGATCTCTATTTTCAGTTAATGGATAAATACCTTAAGATTTCTTAACAGTGTTGTAGTACTAGCTATGTGTGTATAACTGTCATATATCATGTTCTAAAGAAATCCCTTTTTGCATCTTCCTTTCTTGAGTGTTTTTGTTTGGAATTCATCAAAATGCTTCTGTTAGTTGTAACTGACTGGCTCACCTTCCTCATCCTTGTTCAGGTTGTACAGTGCAGATTGAGCGGCGTAACTTGGATGGTCACCTGGCTGTGTGTGAGTACCGGAGTCGTGAGTGCCCCAATGGCTGTGGTTACACCATTCTCAGCACAGAAGACACACAGCACAACTGTGTAGCAGAGCTAAGAACAGAGCTGGAACTGCTTCGGTACAAATTTTCTGCTTCTTCGGTGTTTGTTTTAGTCTGGGCTTAAAATCACTGCATAAAGCACTTCAAATACTAGTACTGGATCCTGGTGTGTGTTAAGTGGTCTATTAATTACTTGATACTAATGGGCCAGAGTTTTATTATGTGTCAGCATAGACTTTAAATTCTTGCTGGTTTGATTCCTTTTCTGTTTTGTTTTTTTTTTTCTAAGTTGCTATAAGTTATAAAATGCTATTGCTTACAGTTGAACAAAACTGTGAGCTTACTACATAAAATGACAAAATCCTAAGAAACCTGGACTTAAGTTGGCGATTTAATTTTTCCATTGGCCTGTTACAGACCCAAAGTCACATTATTTAATAATTATATTAAGTTTATGTTTTTACAGATGCAGAAGATAAAAATCTGTAATTATTTTGGCAGATACAGGTAGATTAAATTGCTGAAGATCTAATTTTCGTTTTTTGTTAAAATTCTGATAGATAAATAACAATCAGTGAATATGACTCTTCTTACCAGCATATTCCTTTTCCTCTTATGTATGTTTCTGTAGCTTTCCTTTTCCATTATATTTCAGTTGCACTCTCTTTGTTTTTTTTCCTCATGCTCCCTCCGATTTCTATCTTTCAGCTCTCTAAGTGTTGTGCTCTTGAACATTGCTGTGAAGTCAGGCTCAAATATGGTTTAAATGCGTTGAGACACAAGGGATTCTTCTACCTGTTTCTGAACTCAGGTTAATGTAGTACAAGCTAGTTTTTAGATGTGAAGCTGTTTGAGTGATTAGGTTTGGTGAGTGGTTAGATATGGTTTAGTGCATACTGTCATTTAGTGTCCACCATGAAAGTGACAAGAGTACACAGAACCACAGAATCATTAAGGCTGGAAAAGGCCTTCAAGACCATCAAGTCCAACCGTTAACCCAGCACTGCCAAGCCCATCACTAAAACTGTGTCCCAAAGTGCCATATCTACTTAGTCTCACTTTACATGTTTAGCAATACTGTAGGATTCAGGCTTTTTATCTTGCCTGCCTGCATTTAGCAATACTAAGCCAGCACATACTGTAGGCAAGTGGCAGAAAATCACTTGAAGTCATAAATACATGTTTTTGAGCTCATAAAATTGCTTGAGGAATATGATACAGTTGACCCTCTATAGGGTGTTCATGGGCACTTTAGTCCCCCTGGGCAAGATGCACTTCTTTATGCTAGATTTTTTTTTTAATTAACAAATCATGCCTCTACAGGTGTGCCTTGTAGAGTTTGAAGGGAATCAGATCAGGCCATTGCAAGGCGGCTTTCTGGAATTTGAAAATCATTCTTTTCCATGCTTACAAGACTTAACAAGGAAAAATAAACTTTTTAGGTCAGAAATGATCTGCAGAGTGGAGGAGGCAAAACATGAGATGGAGTCAAGGTTAGATTCACAGAGAAGGCATATGGTCCAAAAAGAGAGTATTCTGCAAAATGAAATTGAAGAACTAAAGGTAAATATGATCGTTTTCCTTTCTTTTTTTTTCTCTCTTAACAGTCTAGGTTTTTGAGTGGTAGCAGTCTCTTATTTTGTAAATATAGTCTTGTACGGAGGAGAATGACATTAGGTGTGGGAAGCAAAACTGGCAAAGCTTTGTCAGGTTAATCAGGTCTGTGGAGAAGCAGGCTGAGTGCTGTATTCCCGTGGCTTATCTGCTTCTTTTTAAAAAGAAAAAAAAAATTTGTGGGGGTAAGGCTTTATTCAGCACAGTGAGGAATGGACATGTAAATAAGGGACGGTTGTGTAACCAAGGCATACACTTCCCAATCCCAAACACCACTGTGCTGGTTTAAAAGTTAACCAGCAGGGGAAATGAACTCAAATCAAAAGAGAGATTATAAGTCAGAATAACAATTTATTAAAATAATACAATAAGTACAATTATACAGACAGACAATTGGTTTTAACCCGTAAAGCCCAAATGTATAACCCAGCACCCTGGGGTATGAACAAAAGTGCTGTTCCTTGGCCTCCCCTGAGTCCAAAGTAAAGAGAGAGGGGAAAAACCTGCTGGTGGGAGAGCTACTGCAGTCTGGTCAGAAAGTGGTGATTGCAGTCCAGTTGAGGGTGGTGGTCTCAGTCTGGTTGAGAGCGGTGAGCTGCAGTCTTCCTCTGGATCCCACGAGTGGTGCCAAGGTTCCGAAACTCCCACTTTATATATTCTCCAGTTCAGGTGGGAGTGCTCAGTCC